TACCTGAAAGCATTTCACCTGGTCTGCCTGGGCCTCTCCTAACAGCCATGGTACCTGCAAACGTTCCTTATAGGACACTGTCCTTGGTTTTCTCATTATTCTGGTCTTACTCTGCTGAATGAAGTTATTTATTTGCCCACGTCTCTAAATGCAGTACTGAGAACTGAGCATAATGTGTGCACTGTAAGCTAACTGGCAAAGAAAAGGGTGGGGCTGTCATCCGACTTCACATTCTAAACAACAAACAAACATCTATTAATGGAGCTCTTTGTTTTCAGCTACATGAGCTTGATGACCCATATTTAGCTTGAAATGAACTAAATCCTGATAACCTAGGCATGTGCACTGCTAAGCCATTCCTCGCTCCTCCTACACTTGTCCAGTAGGGATTTTAGTGATTCGTAAGAGGAATGGAAATTAAATTGGTAACATAAACAAGACAGCCAGCACACCTACTGCAGAACAAGCTGTTTTCTGGCATTTACATAGCAATCTTACGGTACTAGTTACTATAAACCTGTTCTCATCACCAGAAGGATATAGATCTTCTAGAAGACAAGACTGATTATGTATCGTGTTAGGCAGAAAACCTGCTAGATTTTTTATCTACATATAAAACTGCATGTGCATAAACACACACCCACACACACTGCTCCTTATTTGCCTCTTATATTGACATAGAAACCCCTCTTCAATCATAAGATTCTCTTTTAAGAAATTCTGATGGTTTATTTTTTCCTCAACTGCCATTTGAGGAAACTGATTTGAACACAGCTATTTCAAGTCACCATTACTGGGAATTTTATTTTTAAGAGAATTGTGAGACTAAAATGAGAAAAAAAAAGGAAGAGAAATACTAGCCATGTGCCCTAAGGAAAAGAACATGGAACAAAATAAACCGAAGCTTTAGAACTAAATTAAGAGAAAGACAAAGAGAACAAAATCAGTTTTGTGGGTCTTCTGAAGTTATCAAAACTGAACCTCAATGAGTATGAGAAATACTTAGCAATGGTCAGTTGAATAAAATGTTCTAAAAATTTGTCAAGTCTACAGCCATGCCACCCTGAACAAACCCAATCCTGTCTGATCTCGGAAGCTAAGCAGGGTCGGGCCTGGTTAGTACTTGGATGGGAGACCACCTAGGAAGATCAGGTGGTGTAGGCGTAAAAATTAAAAAAATAAGGGATTGTAAGCTGACAAGGTCCTTGCGATCTGTGAGGTCAATCAAGGGTTGCGTCACCTAAAAAAAAACAAAACTGTCAAATCAAGCATCATAATAATCTGTACACGGAGTGATCTGGAGGGTTACATACCAAATTGTGACCCCTGGCCACCAGTAAGGAGTGGGAAAACAGATGACTTACATAGATAATTTTTAAAAAGCAATAATCATGTATTGTTTATATAACACACACACACACACACACACACACACACACACACACACACACACACACACACACACACACACAAAATTATCTTTATGCGGCTTTGGTTGGACTCCCAGACGGGACAACAATGCCAGCTCATAAAATCAGACAGGAATCACGTGGAAGAATACACACACAAACACACACACTGGTTAATATTAAGGGCAAAGTTTATTGTCAAAACCTGGACACTCTATGGAGTGAAAGATGGACACTGTTAATAACTGCTCAAGGAAACGTGTGAACTGGAACTGTTTCAGGCAAACCTGGGGTCTGGTCATCCAACGTATGTCTGATGCAACTACATAAACCAGCTGCTTTAAACCAAGGGAGGAAAAGAGCTTGGAATTTTCTATCAAGCAATGGGTGATAAAGAAAAATTACAACACACACATTATTGCTTATTTAGCATGCCATCTCTGCTATTATGTTTTAGGGATCAAAGCAATTCTTGGGGTTTGCCTAGCTTTCCCTGAAACTTGGTTCCTTTTTCTCTACTGCTCATGACAGTCCCCTCCCCGCCACACCAGAAGAAAAGAGTTTGCATCCCTCAAGCAGGTATTTTCTTTACAGAGGTTTTTAGGAATACAACATTCATGGTAGAAAAAGGAGAATATGTGAGTTTACAAAGCATTTGAACAAACCGTAAGCTGTTTCGTTTGTATCATAAGCACCCTACGCTGGAAAGGCATTAAGATTCACATTTTACAAACAAGGCAGCTGAGATTTAGAGGACTAAGGCCCAAGGCCAAAACAACTATCAGCAGCCACGTACATCGAACTAAGCCAGGCCTTGGGCTCTAGGTGGTCATTCTATAATACCAAGAGGTTCACCATTTACACAGCTTCTTCCTTCGGCCGCCTTTTTCCAGTGACGTACATTTCTGAGATTTTTCGTGTGGCTCCCATTTCCAGTAACATCGATTCTAAGAAATTCTGAGCTCCATAACAGAAAAAGTAGGTAATTATCTGCCCTACAAAGGATTTCACGTTGAAAAGGGCGGGGGAGGGGGAATCACCAGATTTCATTTAAAAATATGCATTCTTTTTTTTTCTTTCAATAAAAGTAGGACAACTTGCAAAACAATGTGATTTATCTACAGCTTTCCAGGAATATGTTCATTTTATAAAATATACAAATAAATGACAACTACTTCCATGTAAAAGGCTGGCAAAACAGGCAACTTTAGGGATAAGGAATCTAAATGCAGATTAAATAACGTAGGCTGAACTAGAACCTGCTAGAGTTTTCTTACCACTCAAAGGCCTGAATTCAAGCCTGATGCCACTATTAAATGTGCAATCATTTCTTGAGAAACTGATATATTGTTCCTACCTAATTTTAAGAACTTTGGATATAAAAGTATGCCTGCTTCCAATCTACACCTTGTTAAAGCGGAGTGAGGAATTAAAAGATACATCTGAAACAAAGGCAAGTAAGATAAAATACTTAAGGCATAAACACACGAAAGTATCAGTTTCTTAAAGTCATGACGTCATCCAGTCATACAGCACTGCTCCTCCAAAGACAAAAGCCAGCAGGTGACCACTAGCTCCATATCCACAGCTGACTGGCTCTAACAGGAAACTTTAAAGTGACACCCCCCCACCCGCCCGTCAAAATATAACCCTTGCATAGAGACAGTAAGTATTTTAGGCAAAAAAAAAAAGGGGTGGGGCCTATGTTTATACTCTGATTTTCTAACTATCTCACTTTTGGAACTACTGCCTCAGGAAATAAAAGCATAAAAAAGCTATTACTACTCAATTTGTCACAGCAGTTTTCTTTTACTGATTCAACAAAAATGTGCTGCTGGCTTCTATGCCAGGCACTGTTCTAGACCCTGAAGACATGGCGTCATTAAGACAAAAATGCCACCCTCGTGGTGCTTACACTCTGGCAGGAGAGATGCACAGTATACGAACAAATACACAGTGTGTCAGATGAGCGCTGCAGAAGCTGAATAAACACTCACCGCAGCGTGAATGGTGGGAGGAGCCACGGGGCGGGGTGGGGCGGAGGGAAGGAGAGTAGGAGAAGCAGAGAGTTCTACATGGCGAGAAAAGGCCTCGCGAGCGGACATTTGAACACGGAGCTAAAAGAAGTGCGGGGCAAGGCATGGGGATGTCCAGAGGAAGAGTGACGATTAAATTTAAGACGCTCTTGAGACATTCAAGTGGACCTCAAGGAGGTGTCAGATGTATGAATCGTGGGGATCAGGAGAGAGGCCATACTCGAGAGAGATCTCTAAATACAACCAGATACGCCATGAGACCAGACGGGACCACCTAGGCAGTCAGTCAGGAGAGAAGGAAAAAACGAAAACCTGAGCCCTAGAGTCATACGACATTTAGAGACCGAGAAGATGAGACCAGCCAGCAACGGAAGGAGAGAATCAAGAGAGTGGTGTCCCGGAAGTGAAAAAGGGGTGGCGGACGGAAGTGGTGTCCAATTCTGATGTCAACTATGTCCAGTTCTGTGGAAGCTCAAGTAAGAGGGCTCGTGGACTTAGGAATGTGGGTGTGGGAGGCTGCAAACATGGACCACCAGGTCCTTGCGGCGGCTCCCACCGAGGGGTGGCGTCTACTGCCCCTGGAATCGGGGGCTGGCTGTGTGAGCTGCACTGGCCAGCAGGACTCTGGCGAATGAGATGCAAGCACAGGCTTGCAAGGTCTTGTGCCCTGGGCTCTTCCTCTCTTCTGCTCTCAGGAACGCTTTCGCCATCTCGTGAATGAGCATGTGGCAGATGAAACCCATGTGGCCACTGCCCCAGGCGATAGCAAGCCAACCACTAGACACCAGAGTGAGGCCATTCTAGCCTGGAAAAGCAGCCAGCTCAGCCCCAACCAGAACTGCCCGAAAAAATAAGCCAACGAAATGGTGCTTGTATCAAGCTACTAAATTTTGGGGCGGTTTGTTATGAAGCAAAATAATTGATAAAGTGGAGGACAATGACAAGAGCTATGTCAACGGAGCGGCAGGCACAGAAATCTGGTTCGTGGTGATTAAGAATGAATGGACAGAAAGTGGAACGTGAGGCCTCTGGCAGACACAGGCTGAGCGCTGGGGGCTTCCCTTTCTAACAAGGCCACTTCCTCCACCAGGAAACTACAGTTACGTTGTTCACCAGGTTGTCCCCCACCCTCTTCCAGCACCTCTACAGACAGAACAGTGGCACAATGGCAAAGTCCTTCTACTGAGCACTTAACTTGCGACATCCAATTATGCCAGTCCAAGCACAGCCCCCAGCGAGATGTGGAGGGGACGGAGTGGTGAAGGAACTACATGCTCCGCCGCCTCACTGCCAAGACGTTGACCAATAAATTTGATTTTCTATTTAGAGGGCTGGGGAGGGTGTGTGTGTGTGCGCGCGTGCGTGCACACGCACACACGCACGCACACATATGACCCTACAGGGCACCTAACCATCTCTTGACAGCCTTGACATGTGCACTGCTTCTCATTTTCCAAGTAAATTATCTGAAAAAGAACTGCAATTCCATTTAAAAGCACTTGTAAATTTTTAAAAACCAGCTCTTTAAATTGTCAAAAATATAAAAATAACTCACTTAGCGATCCGCAGCTTTCCAACTTCACCTCTTCCAGGAGCTTTAGCCCATTGTTGTGACAAATATTTAGGAACCTAAAACGAAATAAAATACTAATAAGACTATGTTTTGGGCATTAATCAATCTTATAAAACATAAAATGATGTACTGCTTCTATTTTACTTTGTGCCTGTAATAAATGATCATCCAGTATCAAGCTGTCAGTTTATGTCTGACACGATAAAGGGTACTAAGATATGTAAGAACTGATTTTAGCTCTGGAAGAGCTCAGTCAGTCAGGCTGGTTACCCAAAACCAACATGGGTCAAACAACTTAACAGTAATGAAGAATTAACTTATGTTCCCAAATGAGTCTAATCAAAGTTCAGGGGTGAGAAACACCTCCAGAAAAGGCTCCTCATGGGAGCTTAACGCTCTGACATGATATTATTTAGAGACGCCAATGAGTTTAAGATGATTTGAAAGGTTAAGTTTTACTTATGTAAGATTGTAACTCTGACTAATATGATGAAGGATCTGCCGAAATAAAAGATTTATTAAATATCATAGCTAACATCTCTGTAATACAACTTTCCCAACACTGTTGTAAGCACTTTCCATACATTCATGCTTGTAAGCGTTCCATCTCTGTGAGGCAGGTACTGTTGATTACCCTCACTTTACAGATGGATCTGGGGCACCGAGGGATTATATAATCTAGCCAAGGTCACATAATTAGCAAATGATGGAGCAAGGATTCAAACCCAAGCAGTCTGGTTCCAGCATCTATGTAACCAATACACTGCATTGTGTCTGTAACTAGATATATGCAATCAGAAGGCTTTTAATTCTCAAAAAAGTTAAGGGAATACATGTTGATTCCCTACTATGTACCTACTTCACTTCCTCTAAGAAGTAGTTTGAACTCCGGAATCATCACTTACCTTTACGGTCATCCTACCGTGAGGAGCGAGATGCTACATATAAAGCATGAAGCATAATCATAATGCCTTACAAGTACTCAGTAAGGGCCAGGTGTCATTACTTCCCACAATAATCCTGGAATAGCATGAACACGAATGTAGAACGAGTCAGAGACAGCTTCCAAAGCTGGAAAGGGGGACAAATTTTATCTAGCAAAGATTTCATTTGCAAAAAGAACCACCTACTAGTCAAACTGCAATGCTTTGGATATGGTAAAAATTCAGGAATAAGAGGGTCAAAAGAAGACCCTCATGCTTTTGTTCAGTTACATATGTATTCTTTATAATAAAATTTACTGAACCACTGTGTGTCAGACAATATGCTAAAAGTTTGGAACAGAGGGAGGGGGAAGGGAGACAACAGTGTCAGGTACCGTGCTATACATGTCACATCCGTTACCCCAATTAATCTTCTAATCGCCCCATGAAATCTATCATTCTCCCCATTCTATAGACAAGAAAACGGAGGCTCAGACGGCTGAAATAACACAGTTAGCTAGTATCAGACACGAAACTTGTCTCCAGGTCCGGCGGTCTCTACCCTAGACCACTAAAACGCTTGTAAAAGATCTCACGGAAAGAGGGTTCTGAAGACTCCACACCATAACAAAAGTTCAAGGACGCCACACTCCACTTCGTCACACGAGCTTAGAAGAGCGGGCGAACTCCACGTGGTAGCTGTACTTACCTATCAGGTCTCCTTTGATTATGAGTGAGAAGAAAACCCACAACAACGTGCAAAGGATTTACTGACTCAAGTAACTGAAAACTCCAGAGGTAGCTTTAAGGTGGCTCAAGGGCTCAAATGATGTCACCAGGACTCTGTGACCATCTATCTCTTAGCTCTTCTCTCCTCCCCCCACGTGCACTCACGTCTGTGACAGCCTCCCACCCCCTTGTTCAGTGTGACGGCTGAAGCAGCTCCTGAAGAGCAGTCCCCTTCCTCGAAAGTCCCCAGTAAAGATGTGACTGTCTCTCACGGTTCGGAGTGGGCCGCGTGTCCTTCCTTGGGTCTGTCATTGAACCTGAAGATGAGATCCTTTTACTGGCCACTTCCTGTGGGGAGCTGTAGTCAACATCATCAGAATCACAGACTGAAAAGGGGAAGTGGCGGTTTCCAAAGTTAAATCGGGGTGCTGGTACAGTGTCAGAGGAAGTGTGGACACTGGTCAAAGGAGATGTCCACAACATCCACTGTCAGAACTGACTATGAGATCTAAAGTTGATCTGCACAAATACTGTTAGAACGTCAAACAAAACCCCGAATCCTTGGACTGTGTTGATAATTCCCTGCGGCCTCTCTGTTGAAATACTGCCTAACGAGCTAGCCTTTGCTTCTTGCTTTGTCTTTGATTTTTAACTCCGGGGAACCTTCGTGTCAATTACTCTGATACAAAGAGAAAACTACTTTCTGCAGATGGCAGCCCACTCTCCCAACCAAATGCAAGCTACATCCCCTGAGGAAGTCCTGAGAGGTAAGATGGTGTCTGTTCTTCATCATATTCCAAGTTACTGGTTCAAATGAGCCCTGTATGTAAATACCCCAAGATACCTCAATATCGGTATCCCCTCCACAGTCTGTATCTCAAGCAACCGTCTGACCATAGCAGGAAGTGACATCCGACGGAGGAAACTGGATGCTCAGACAACTTTGTTAGAGGAGAATTTAATGCTGGCGGAGCGCGTGGGGCTTTCAACAGACCCAAAGCACAATCTCCCCTTGGTCAGATTCTTACAGCTTACGTACCCTCGCAGCGTCCGTACAAGGGGCGCGTGATTCCTTTGAGGTTTCACGTGTGCTTCATGACTCACAATGGGGAGGGGGAGCTTCGGGTGGGGGGTTGCAGGGGCGAGGAATTTCCAGACCACTGGTCTTACAGGTCGTTTGTCTTGCGACCTTGGCGTTATCGGCACCATTATAGGATTCTCGAACAGAGAGAGGGACATTGAGGCTATAAGTAGGAAGCAACACTCATTAATGCCAGCACCTGCTCCGCGGGTTCCTGCCCAAAGGCTGAGCCCCGCCTGTAACACAACAAGCAGTTTTATACAGTCTTGTTATTCCCACAGAGATAAGGAAGACCATCAGTTGACTGGCAAGTCATGAACCAACAGCTGTGCGCTGGAGAGTCCTGGAGGGGGAGAGGGCAGTCCGGAATGGGCTGCAACTGGCTGAGCTGGTCCCTGCTGCACACCTTTCCCCTGCGCCCTTTCAGACGCCTCCCCTCCCCTCTCAGGCCCACCATCTCCTAGCTCCCCAGCTCTCGCCTCAGTACGACTCCAGCAGTTCTTGCATCCCTTGAAGTCACCGACTGTCTTTACGCTGTCCCCTTCTGCTTATGTCTCCACTCCTCTCTTTAAAGGGCCGACGCGCCACAGCGTCTCCCGCCATCGTACTGGCCTGGCACAACTTAGTCCTGATTACAGCCAATCTGCACTACTACTTATTTATCCTTCTTCGTTTTGATTGTATTCCTCCTCAGCCAATCTGCACTACTACTTATTTATCCTTCTTCTTCGTTTTGATTGTATTCCTCCCCTTCCACACTTCCACCCAGCAGCTGAAGAAAAACGCAGTTGTGCTGAACGGTCTGCCCTGGAATACACAGCGACTAACGTCCAGCAAGCCCTTTAGGGTGCCTGGCAATTTAACTCCATCTCCCTGATCGATACGCGCCTCCCCTGCAGGCATGACATGTTCTCTTCACCCCTCAAACCTGGAACCCCTCCTCCCTCCTCCCTCCTCCTCCCTCCTCCCTCTGTGCTGATAACCTGACCTCCTCTTCCACGGAGGACAAGACAAAAATCAAAAGAACTTCAGCTGAGCCTTTTACTCCGCTTTGCCCTTAAAACAACAGATGAATTAGGGCCGCTCCCTCCATCTGTGCACGAAGTTCTTTCCCTGTAGTATAAACATGCTTCCTTCAAGGCGACCTTTCTCTCCTCCACTCCCTTCTCTACTTACTCATTCCCCATCAGAAAATGACGACGATAAGAGTGCTTACTCAATGTGACCGGAGGACGCCAGGACGGCCCCAAGATCCCCACCTCCTGATATTCACACCATCATCTGTCCTTGAGTGAGAACAGGACCTGTGACTTCCTTCTAAGCAGCACAATATGGCAACGGTGATGACGTCACTTCTTTGATTAAGTTACAGAAGATTGTGACTGTCTTGCTTCTCACTGTTTTCTCAGTTTGCATGCTTCAATGAAGGCAGCTGCCATGACGGAGGGGCCCATGTGATAAGAAACCGAGGGCAGGCTCCTGCAGACAGCCAGGCATTTAGGGCCTCGCTCCCGCCACCCCAGAACTGAATTCTGCCAACCACAGGAGCTCAGCAACTGCCCCAAGAACCTCAGATTGGGGCCCAGCCCTGGCTGACGCCGTGACTACAGCCTCTGAGGGGCTCTGTAGCAGGGGACCCAACTGAGCCACACCAGGACCCCTCAGGTCCAGAAATGACGAAAGAACGAATGCATGCTGTTTAAGCTACTGAGTCTGTGGTGATAAGCAACACAGCGAAGTGACAAGTACTCTTCTACATGTTTTAAACATATTAACCACTTAATCCCCACCCGATCCTCCTCCTCTGGACACTCCTTTCTGGTCTCCGTACACCTAGACCGCATCCTCCAAGCCCTTTAACTTCACAGGGCCCTGGGTTTGGTCCCCAGACCTCTCTCCTCCAGCCATACGCAATCTTATGTGACCTTGCCTGGTCTCGTGGCTTTACATACCATCTGTAAATGACAATTCCCAAATTTATAGCGAGGCCAGGCTCCCCTGACAAGTCGCAATTTATATATCCTACTGCCGACTCAAACTCTGAATGTTCAGTAGACATTTAAAACTTCACATCTCCACTCTAGAAGGCTATAATTTAGGCCATCAAACAACAAAAAATAGTTGGAAATAACTATATCATACGCTGGAACAAATTTAAGAATCACGTTGAGTACAATAAACTGTACCTAATACAAGCAACTGCCAACTTAATAAAAGATTGTGTTCCCGAAGTTAATTAACAAAACACGTTTGGAACTTGGACTACACTGTCATCATTTGCCACCAGCTTATTTAATTCAGAGAGTTGCCGAAAGATTAAACC